TGGCAGGAACAGGCCGGGTCGGGCTGGCGACGCGCACCGTACACTTGGTGCGGGTGGCAGGAACAGGCCGGACCGGGCTGGCGACGCGCACCGTAGGTTTTGGTGCGAGTGGCAGGAACAGGCCGGGTCGGGCTGGCGACGCGCACCGTAGACTTGGTGCGGGTGGCAGGAACAGGCCGGGCTGGGCTGGCGACGCACACCGTAGGTTTAGTGCGTGGAGCAGGAACAGGCCGGGGTGGGCTGGCGACGCACACCGTAGTTTTAGTGCGTGGAGCAGGAACAGGCCGGGCTGGGCTGGCGACGCACACCGTAGGTCTCGTGCGTGGAGCAGGAACAGGCCGGGCTGGGCTGGCGACGCACACCGTAGGCTCTGTGCGTGTGGCAGGAACAGGCCGGGTCGGGCTGGCGACGTACACCGTAGGCTTAGTACGTGGAGCAGGAACCGGCCGGGCTGGACTGGCGACGCACACCGTGGGTCTGGTACGTGGAGCAGGAACAGGTCGGGCTGGGCTGGCCACGTACACCGTAGGCTTAGTACGTGGAGCAGGAACCGGCCGGGCTGGACTGGCGACGCACACCGTGGGTCTGGTACGTGGAGCAGGAACAGGTCGGGCTGGGCTGGCCACGCACACCGTAGGCCTTGTACGTGGAGCAGGAACCGGCCGGGCTGGACTGGCGACGCACACCGTGGGTCTGGTACGTAGAGCAGGAACAGGTCGGGCTGGGCTGGCCACGCACACCGTAGGCTTTGTACGTGGAACAGGAAACCGGCCGGGCTGGACTGGCGACGCACACCGTGGGCTTGATGCGTGGAGTAGGAACAGGCCGGTCCGTACTGGGAACACACACCACTGGCCTTAACCGGGGATCAGGAACGGGCCGGACCGGACTGGTAACACACCTCAGTCTCTTACGCCGTGCCTCCACTACTTTGACCAGTGGCCCCCGTAACCTGGTGGCCTTTTGAATTCGCCCCTTCTCTGCCTCCGTCAGCCCCGTCGTCCATGCCCTGTGCCCCCCCCTAAAAAATTATTGGGGGTGCTTCTCGTCCCTCCGACGCTGCTCCCACATCCAGGCTGCCGATTCCTGAACACGCTGCTTGGTCCTTTGATGGTGGGTTTTTCTGTCACGATCGTCTAAGGAGGCGGACCAAGGCGCAGCGTGTTTAGCGAACATGTTGACTTTATTTAATTAAAGCAACCACGAAAACAACAACATAAATGACGATAGTGAAGTCCACAGTGACAATGACTGTACAGGAACAAAAACCCACAACCACAAGGTGAAAACACACAGTTTAAATATGGCTCCCAATCAGAGATAACGAGCCGACAGCTGACACTCGTTACCTCCGATTGGGAGTCATTTGAACAACCAAATACAACAACCTAGAATAGACACAACAGAACTACCAACATAGAAATAAACACATAGAATGCACACACCCTGGCTCAACATAATGAGTCCCAGAGCCAGGGTGTGACAATAAATCCGCTATCAGACGTCAACATATCACCTCGCCAGATTAACGAAACACTTTATAGAACAATATCACTCTATTAATGAATGGAAATGTTAATCCACCACGCAGAGGAGATTACGACAACAAATTACTCCAAAGAGATACAGTACCAGTCAAAAGTTTGGACACACTCCATCATTCCAGGGTTTTTCTTTATTTTTACTATTTCCTACATTGTAGAATAATAGTGAAAACATCAAAACTATGAAATAGCACATATGGAATCATGTAGCTAAAAGTTAATGCGTTTGAGCCAATCAGTTGTGTTGTGACAAGGTTGGGGTGGTATACAGAAGATAACCCAATTTGGTAAAAGACCAAGTCCATTTTATGGCAAGAACAGCTCAAATAAGCAAAGAGAAACGACAGTCCATCATTACTTTAAGACATGAAGGTCAGACAATCCGGAAACTGGCTCTCATGAGGACTGCCACAGGAAAGGAAAACCCAGAGTTACCTCTGCTGCAGAGGATAAGTTCATTCGAGTTAACTGCACCTCAGATTGCAGCCCAAATAAATGCTTCACAGAGTTCAAGTAACAGACACATCTCAACATCAGCTGTTCAGAGGAGACTGCGTGAATCATGCCATCATGGTCGAATTGCTGCAAAGAAACCACTACTAAAGGACACCAATAAGAAGAAGAGACTTGCTTGGGCCAAGAAACACGAGCAATGGACATTAGACCGGTGGAAATCAAATTTGAAATGTTTGGTTCCAACCGCCGTGTCTTTGTGAGACGCAGAGTAGGTGAACGTATGATCTCCGCATGTGTGGTTCCCACCGTGAAGCATGGAGGAGGAGGTGTGATGGTGTGGGGGTGCTTTGCTAGTGACACTGACAGTGATTTATTTAGAATTCAAGGCACACTTAACCAGCATGGTTACCACAGCATTCTGCAGTGATACGCCGTCCCATCTGGTTTGCACTTAGTGGGACTATCATTTGTTTTTCAACAGGACAATGACCCAACACACCTCCAGGCTGTGTCAGGGCTATTTGACCAAGAAGGAGAGTGCATCAGATGACCTGGCCTCCACAATCACCCGACCTCAACCCAGTTGAGATGGTTTGGGATGAGTTGGACCGCAGAGTGAAGGAAAAGCAGCCAACAAGTGCTCAGCATATGTGGGAACTCCTTCAAGACTGTTGGAAAAGTATTCCTCATGAAGCTGGTTGAGAGAATGCCAAGAGTGTGCAAAGCTGTCATCAAGGCAAAGGGTGGCTATTTTGAAGAATCTCAGATATAAAATATATTTTGATTTGTTTAACACTTTTTTGGTTACTACATGATTCCATATGTGTTATTTCATAGTTTTGATGTCTTCACTATTATTCTACAATGTAGAAAATAGTACAAATAAAGAAAAACTATTGAATGAGTAGTGTCCAAACCTTTGACTGGTACTGTATATAAATTATATTCCGTATCCCCACATGGTTTAAACGAAGAACTAGATTTTCCTACCTATAGGCCAAATTTAGACTGTTATACAAGAACACTGTCCATATCATTTTTTGAATATCATTTATGACTTAGTCCCACATATTTATGAACGGCCGAGCCTGATGTCCTATGTGGTAAGCTATCGCATGAATTTATATAATGTATCTTTGTGTTGGACACCTAAGGCAATTGATTAATGAATGGATCATGCCTGATGCCCCTCAATTGCCCTTCGTGCCCACTACCATACACTATAATTCTGTATTTCTTTGTGACTGTAACTTGTATACAGGTAGACCAGAGAAACAACATCCCTGATTGGCAGATAAGTTGGCAACCCTGATTAGAAGCACCTGCTGCTCCATCGGTTGCTCACCTGTGTTCCCTACAAATGCTGTTTTGAGTGAAAAAGATTTGTTCCTACACAATGAAGAAGACTGAAAAGCCGAAACGTCTGTGTAGTGAAGATATATTTGAAATGAAGTAAACTTTATGCGACATCTTTTTGAGTGCTGAGTTATATTTATCTGAATTCACTGGTTTTACACACCAACCAAACTTCTGGGAGAGCGCGATGGTCCTCTTTTGATTTGACACCTTGCTTCAAATGGAAGGAATGGAGAAGTGTGTAGCGTGTGTGTGTGTGTGTTGATACATTAATTTATTCCGACACATTCCTACAAAACCGTGTGTGTGTGTGTGTGAATGTGTGTGTGTGTGTGTGTGTGTGTGTGTGTGTGTGTGTGTGGTGTGTACTCTAGATGTGTGTGTAGATATATAAAAGCAGTATCCAGTATGATTATTCAAGGCCAGGCAGACACAGCTGTTCCTTTCACACACACACACACACACGCTGCACCTATGGACACACACACAGGAGACACACTGGCAGCCCTGGCATCACTGGCAGGCAGCACCCTACAGAATGAATACACACTGGGTATAGACAGGGCGAGGGTGATCCAACGGTCAGGGACACATTAAAGAGACAGGGGGAAGCACGTACCCGCACGCACACAGGCACGTGTGAGCACGCACAAACACGCACATACACCATCACCCTCACACACATACCTAAACACGTGTATCACATGTTTGTGTATCCATATATTGATTTAGTGTCTACGTGAGTCTATAGGAGGCACAAAGACTTACATGTGTTAAAGGAAGACAACCCCAGCGTGTGTGTGTTTTTATGCGTGTGTAGGTGAATGTGTGACTTTCTCTCTCTTTCTCTGCGTGTGTGTGTGTGAGAGAGAGTCTTCTCTGTAGTGGCAGCTCTTTGATCAGCCTCCCCCTGCTCGGGAGCCAACCCCTGGTGTCTTGGAGGCAGATGAAACACACGCACACACGAAACACTGTGCCTCTCTCTCTCTGTCTATCCGGGGCCGCCTCACAGCCACAGAACACCCACTATCTATCCTCTCTTCACCCTTTCCCTTAACAAGCACTCCTTACCCCTGCTATTTTAAAGGCTATTGATATGGAGCTGAGGCTTTCATCTAGTATCGCACCAGTTTATTTATTAACAGCCCTTGGTTTTATTTTATACCCCCTTTATCTAAATATGTGAGAGGATAGGTGACTGTAGACCCTGAAGGGTGCTTGACAATGGTAAGGGTATGTAAACATTGGAGAGAGGGGAGTTTGGAGCTTTAAAAAGCAGGTGATTCCATTAGATGCGTACTGTACCTAAACAGTGTCAGGAAAGTAATGATGTGCCAAGCCTTCTTTCCGGTTATTGTTGCTGCCATCCTCCCTCCTTTCTTCCCACTCTCTTCTGCTTTGTCTAGTGACCCAATTCACTTCCATTCAAAAACTGATTTATCGGCCAAACGGCAGAACATTTGCTAAAGGAGGCTGACTATGTTGTCAAAATACACTTTCTATTAACAATGTCGCCCTCTTTTTTTATCACCTCTCTCTCTCTCTTTCTCTACCTTCTAACTTTCCTCGGTCCCTCTCTCTTTTCTCGACCTACCTCTCCCTTCCTTCCTCCTCCTCTCCTCCTCTCCTCTCCTCTCTATAGGCTTCCTGAGTACAGGCGACCAGTCAGCCAAGGGAAACTATGGTCTGTTGGACCAGATCCAAGCCCTGCGTTGGCTCAATGAGAACATCGGCCATTTTGGGGGCGACCCTGAACGCATCACCATCTTCGGCTCTGGGGCAGGGGCGTCCTGCGTCAACCTGCTCATCCTCTCGCACCACTCCGAGGGTAAGGGGCACACTGGTGGGTCACATTCTTATTTGATTTGATTTGACTTGATTTGATGTACTTCTCAGTCTACTTACCCCTTGCCTGGTAGAATAAGGATCATTAAATGAACTATGTGGTTACTCAAAAGGGTAGGTTGGTTGAAAGTGAGTTCCCAGGGTACCATTACTCAACAAAGGTTTGATAAAATAATATAATAAAATATACTACAATATACTTTCAGTATTCTTAATCTGGTAGAATAACATCAAATGTACAATATTCGTATTCACTGGAAGAGTAGGGGATAGATTGGTCTATGGTCATTCTATGGAAAAGTTAGGTGTATCCAATTGTCTTGTGGGTAGATTGTACCATCACTGAAAAGTATATTCAATTTTCATTCATACTCTCTGTCTACGTACCTGGTTGAATCATAGTAAATGTGAAATTGTTTAAATTGGGAGCAATGTGCTCCAATGACCTGCAGGGAAACCTCGACACACACTCTCATGCTTTGATCATAGCTATTACACTACCAGGTATACTCTGATCCCTCTGTCTTCACCGCTCTGCTAGAGAGAGAGCGAGAGAGAGAGGGGGAGAGGGAGAGAGAGAGAGGGAGAGAGAGAGGGAGAGAGAGAGAGAGAGAGAGAGAGAGAGAGAGAGAGAGGGGGAGAGAGAGAGAGAGAGAGAGAAATTCAAAAGGAAATGATCTCAACTGAGAAAAATGTCCTCCTGTGTGCTACCTATATCCCCCCACTAGAATCCCCATACTTTAATGAAGACAGTTTCTCCATCCTGGAGGGGGAAATCAATCATTTCCAGACCCAGGGACATGTACTAGTCTGTGGCGACCTAAATGCCAGAACTGGACAAGAACCTGACACCCTCAGCACACAGGGGGACAAACACCTACCTGGAGGTGACAGCATTCCCTCCCCCATATGCCCCCCTAGGCACAACTACGACAACATAACCAACAAAAACGGGTCACGACTCCTGCAGCTCTGTCGCACACTGGGTATGTACATAGTCAATGGTAGGCTTCGAGGGGACTCCTATGGTAGGTACACCTATAGCTCATCTCTTGGCAGTAGTACTGTAGACTACTTTATCACTGACCTCAACCCAGAGTCTCTCAGAGCGTTCACAGTCAGCCCACTGACACCCCTATCAGACCACAGCAAAATCACAGTCTACTTGAACAGAGCAATACTCAATCATGAGGCATCAAAGCCAAAGGAACTGAATAATATTAAGAAATGCTATAGATGGAAGGAAAGTAGTGTTGAAACCTACCAAAAAACAATTAGGAAACAACAAATTCAATCCCTTTTAGACAACTTCCTGGACAAAACGTTCCACTGTAATAATGAAGGTGTAAACTTGGCAGTAGAAAACCTAAACAGTATATTTGACCTCTCAGCTTTCCTATCAAATCTAAAAATCTCTAACAGAAAACCAAAGAAAAGTAATAACAGTGATAAATGGTTTGATGAAGAATGCAAAAACCTAAGAAAGAAATTGAGAAACCTATCCAACCAAAAACATAGAGACCCAGAAAACCTGAGCCTACGCCTTCACTATGGTGAAGCACTAAAACAATACAGAAATACACTACGGAAAAAGAAGGAACAGCATGTCAGAAATCAGCTCAATGTAATTGAAGAATCCATAGACTCTAACCACTTCTGGGAAAATTGGAAAACACTAAACAAACAACAACACGAAGAGCTATCTATCCAAAACGGAGATGTATGGGTAAACCACTTCTCCAATCTTTTTGGCCCTATAATAGAGAACAAACAGCAAAAAAATATACATGATCAAATACAAATCTTAGAATCAACTATTAAAGACTACCAGAACCCACTGGATTCTCCAATTACATTGAATGAACTACAGGACAAAATACAAACCCTCCAACCCAAAAAGTCCTGTGGTGTTGATGGTATCCTCAATGAAATGATAAAATATACAGACCACAAACTTCAATTAGCTATACTTAAACTATTTAACATCATCCTTAGCTCTGGCATCTTCCCCAATATTTGGAACCAAGGACTGATCACCCCAATCCACAAAAGTGGAGACAAATTTGACCCCAATAACTACCGTGGGATATGCGTCAACAGCAACCTTGGGAAAAACCTCTGCATTATCATTAACAGCAGACTAGTTCATTTCCTCAGTGAAAACAATGTACTGAGCAAATGTCAAATTGGCTTTTTACCAAATTACCGTACGACAGACCACGTATTCACCCTGCACACCCTAATTGACAAACAAACAAACCAAAACAAAGGCAAAGTCTTCTCATGCTTTGTTGATTTCAAAAAAGCTTTTGACTCAATTTGGCATGAGGGTCTGCTATACAAATTGATGGAAAGTGGGGTTGGGGGAAAAACATACGACATTATAAAATCCATGTACACAAACAACAAGTGTGCTGTTAAAATTGGCAAAAAACACACACATTTCTTTCCACAGGGCCGTGGGGTGAGACAGGGATGCAGTTTAAGCCCCACCCTCTTCAACATATATATCAATGAATTGGCGAGGGCACTAGAACAGTCTGCAGCACCCGGCCTCACCCTACTAGAATCTGAAGTCAAATGTCTTCTGTTTGCTGACGATCTGGTGCTTCTGTCACCAACCAAGGAGGGCCTACAGCAGTACCTAGATCTTCTGCACAGATTCTGTCAGACCTGGGCCCTGACAGTAAATCTCAGTAAGACAAAAATAATGGTGTTCCAAAAAAGGTCCAGTTGCCAGGACCACAAATACAAATTCCATCTAGACACCGTTGCCCTAGAGCACACAAAAAACTATACATACCTCGGCCTAAACATCAGCGCCACAGGTAACTTCCACAAAGCTGTGAACAATCTGAGAGACAAGGCAAGAAGGGCCTTCTATGCCATCAAAAGGAACATAAAATTTGACATACCAATTAGGATCTGGCTAAAAATACTTGAATCAGTTATAGAACCCATTGCCCTTTATGGTTCTGAGGTCTGGGGTCCGCTCACCAACCAAGAATTCACAAAATGGGACAAACACCAAATTGAGACTCTGCATGCAGAATTCTGCAAAAACATCCTCCGTGTACAACGTAAAACACCAAATAATGCATGCAGAGCAGAATTAGGCCAATACCCGCTAATTATCAAAATCCAGAAAAGAGCTGTTAAATTCTATAACCACTTAAAAGGAAGCGATTCCCAAACCTTCCATAACAAAGCCATCACCTACAGAGAGATGAACTTGGAGAAGAGTCCCCTAAGTAAGCTTGTCCTGGGGCTCTGTTCACAAACACAAACAGACCCCACACAGCCCCAGGACAACAACAACAACAACACAACTAGACCCAACCAAATCATGAGAAAACAAAAAGAGAATTACTTGACACATTGGAAAGAACAAACAAAAAAACAGAGCAAACTAGAATGCTATTTGGCCCTAAACAGAGAGTACACAGTGGCAGAATACCTGACCACTGTGACTGACCCAAACTTAAGGAAATCTTTGACTATGTACAGACTCAGTGAGCATAGCCTTGCTATTGAGAAAGGCCGCCGTAGGCAGACCTGGCTCTCAAGAGAAGACAGGCTATGTGCACACTGCCCACAAAATGAGGTGGAAACTGAGCTGCAATCCTAACCTCCTGCCAAATGTATGACCATATTAGAGACACATATTTCCCTCAGATTACAGCGATCCACAAAGAATTCGAAAACAAACCCAATTTTAATAAACTCCCTTATCTACTGGGTGAAAAACCACAGTGTGCCATCACAGCTGCAAGATTTGTGACCTGTTGCCACAAGAAAAGGGCAACCAGTGAAGAACAAACACCATTGTAAATACAACCCATATTTATGTTTATTTATTTTCCCATTTGTACTTTAACTATTTGCACATTGTTACAACACTGGATTATACATAACAATGACATTTGAAATGTCTTTATCTTTTGAAACTTCTGAGTGCAATGTTTACTGTTAATATTTATTGTTTATTTCACTTTTGTTTACTATTCTACTTCACTTGCTTTGGGCAAGTGTGAACACACGTTTCCATGCCAATAAGCCTAAATGAATTGAATTGAATTGAGAGAGAGAGTGAGAGAGAAGAGAGAGAGAGAGATGACGAGCGACTCGAGACGGATCGAGGACTGGATGAGTGAGGGAGAGTTGGAGGTGGGGAGGGAGAGAGATGGGAGAGGAGAGAGAGAGGGAGGAAGAGAGAGAGAGAAGGAGGAGAGAGAGAGAGAGAGATGAGAGAGAGAGAGAGAGAGACTCTCTTGTCGGTTAGTCTGTGAGAGGCCAGGGATGTCACCGCAGCAGGTCTCAGGCAACACTGAGCTGCTCCTCCTCACTTGGCCCCTCCTCTACCTCTGACCTATATCATATTCTCCATAAAAGGTGACTAGCTGCTTCTCAGAATATGGGGCTGTGATCAGTGAAAAGAAAAAACAGGAAATAGTAAAGGGATGAATAACATCATGAGAAAGTCCATTTTGATTTAACTCTTTATTTGTCTTTATAAGTGACAAATACAATACAATCGTCAACTGCTGGGTACTTTACCCTTTAAGGCCACCTTATTAGAAATAACCAAATCACTAATATACACAACAGAGATCTAAGTTAAGAGAGGCCAAAAGAGGCAACTACTCCTGTGTGGCCATTAAACAGTTGTGTTTTGACTTCTAACTCCTCCTCTCTAACCACACCCTTACTAGTGGAGTCTTTTGTTTAGAGATGTAGCTAGCTAGCTAGCTATAAAAATGAACCATAATGCCAACTCATAACGTTACTACCCTGCATGAATCTACAGGTAGGTAAAGCTTACCAACTAGTTAGGTTCAATGTTAGTTAGCTAGCTAACATTAGGCTATAACTAGCAATGCAAATGGTTCTGAGATATGAATAATATTACTACATAGATCATACACATAACGTTAGTAAGTGAGTCAGCCAGCCAGCTAACGTTAGCTAGCTAGCTAACAGTACATTTTAACTTGCAATGAAAACGACTTTCTGACTAAATTAGAAACTTATAATATCTGAAAATGTAGCTAGCTAGACTCTCTTACCCGTATACATGGATGAACGCTTCTCCCTCTCTGTCACGGATGCCATGGTTGCCCTTAGTTTGAAGATGCAATCCGGAGACAGATGTTTTATACAACAGCCTTCTGTGTAAGTTGACTGAGAACACAGAGAGAGAGAAAGGAGATGAGAGGGTGTATTGTAAGTGTTTCAATCATCACTCTGTGTGTCTCTGTGTCTGAAGATCAACTTGACCGCCATGCAGTAATAACTTACATTTCTGTGTGTGTGTGTGTGCGAGCATGTGCGTGTGTGTGAGTGTACGCGTGTGTACATGCATGCTTTTGTGCGTGTGGGTGCATGAAGGTGTGTGTGTTATTCTATATGTGTGTGTGCATGAGACTGTGAGTAAACAACCTGTACAGTATGTCCTCTCCTCCCCTCACACCCTATCCTTCATGTCCTCTCCTCCCCTCACACCCCAACCTTCATGTTCTCTCCTCCCCTCACACCCTAACCTTCATGTTCTCTCCTCCCCTCACACCCTAACCTTCATGTTCTCTCCTCCCCTCACACCCCAACCTTCATGTTCTCTCCTCCCCTCACACCCTAATCTTCATGTTCTCTCCTCCCCTCACACCCTAACCTTCATGTTCTCTCCTCCCCTCACACCCTATCCTTCATGTCCTCTCCTCCCCTCACACCATAACCTTCATGTTCTCTCCTCCCCTCACACCATAACCTTCATGTTCTCTCCTCCCCTCACACCCTAACCTTCATGTTCTCTCCTCCCCTCACACCCTAACCTTCATGTTCTCTCCTCCCCTCACACGCTAACCTTCATGTCCTCTGTCATCTCTCGTCTTGCCATTGACTTGTCTCCTCTGCTGCCACTCACCAATACATTGCAACCTGACCTCTGTGCTGTCAAACCCATGTTCGTCATCATCATCGTCATCTAACCCCAGCCCTCCAGACTACTCCTCCACCTGTCACTCAAAGCCCCCGGGCCGCCAGGTAAGGAACGCTGCCGCTCCCCTCGAAGAACGCCAATCAAGTCATCCCACCACTCAACAAATCAACTGTGACATGATACACATGAGTTTATGGAGGAGAGGTGAATGGGAGAGGAGGGGAGGGGAGGGGAAGGGGGGATACAGATCGTTATGATGAGAGAGGCGGAGGGGGGAGATGGTGAGGAGAGGTAGAGGAAGGGAATATGCACTGAGAGAGGGATAGAGTAAAGAAGTTAATTGATTGTTATGATTTAGGATGAAATGTATATGGTCCCTTTTGTCACTCGTCTATTTCAGCCTTGATCGCTCTCACTTCTCTCAGACGTTCTCACCCCACTCTTCAACTCCCTCTCCTTCTCTCCCCCCGCCCACCCTTTCTCTCTCTCTTCCTCTCTCTCTGTCTCTCTCTCTCTCCTCTATGAGGAGTAATGCTGAGGTAGCAGGTAGGGTTAGCTCGTGTCTGAGCGATACTCTCCTTAAAAGACTCCCTGGGAAAAAAAAGAGGATCTGCTCTGCGTCACTGCTTAATAATTCACCAGGAATCTACAGGGGAGGAAAGGAGTGCGGAGGAAGAGAGCGAGACGAAGGAGGAAGACTAGGGAGGGATGAGAGCTCCCTCCTGTAACGAGGCACCACAGTAGTTCGTTTTCACCACAGGACAGACGGAGAGAAAAAGAAAAGAGCGAGAGGGAGAGAAATCTGTGGAAAAGAGGAAGGAAAAGTTGATTTAAGAAGCAGACTGTGTAGTCCCCCATTGATTTACCAGTCTGGGCTGTATCATATAATTTAAAGTCTGAGACTGTTGGAGTTAGAAGCACATTACTTTTTCTCTGATTTGTTACAGTGAGGAAGATATAGGAAATACATAGACAAATCTGTGTAGGGTAAAGGGAACAAACTTTTACAACCTAAGTATTCTCAATCCCTTCCCCAAGTCTGAACTTTTCAGGTTGTTGAAAGTACAATATTAACTTCTCTCTTCCGTAAAGAAAGGAGGCAATGAGAGGATTCCACATTAGACTATTGAGATGCACCCATGGCTGCTACTCTAGTAACCTAACATGTTTAGCACACTTTGATGAAAAATGTCCGCTCACCTTTTCCTTACGTATAGGATCTTATTTTTGTCCAGCTCTTGATATTACATTGGATGTTCATAAAACCTCCTCCTTTCAGATTCACTAGTCTAACTTCTTCCACTCTCTCTCTCCTCCAGGATTGTTCCAGAGGGCCATAGCCCAGAGTGGCTCAGCCATCTCCAGCTGGTCGGTCAACTACCAGCCCCTGAAGTACACTAAGATCCTGGCCCGGAAGGTGGGTTGTAGCCACTCAGAGACAGCAGAATTGGTGGACTGCCTGAGGAAGAAGAACTTCAGGGAGCTGGTGGATCAGGACATCCAGCCGGCCCGCTACCACATCGCCTTCGGACCCGTTGTGGACGGAGACGTGGTGCCGGACGACCCTGAGATACTCATGCAGCAGGTGGGTTGGGTGGAGGAAGGGTGTGTGTGTGTGTGTGTGGGTGCGTGCTTGTATATTAGTCACAGCTCTCTGACTGCAGAGACAGAGGTACTTTATTGGTTGTGATGAAATCCCAAGCCTAGATTGACCAAGGGTAAAATGTAAAAATATAAAGGTTATGATAAGACATTACTGTAATTGTTAAGTGTAATTGAAGACAGTTTCATATTTTAGGCTTTTTGGTGTTTATTGCTCTTTTTAAGGTGCCCAAAGTGCTTTAAATTTTATGGGGCAGCACAACTCATCTCATCCACGTCTAATGCATTTATGCACCTAACGTGTCCTTCCCTTTTTCTGCCACTAGGGGGAGTTCCTGAACTATGACATCCTGATAGGAGTGAACCAGGGAGAGGGGCTCAAGTTTGTAGATGACAGTGAAGACAACGATGGGATCTCAGCTGCAGCGTTCGACTACACCATCTCTAACTTTGTGGACAATCTCTATGGCTATCCTGAGGGTAAGGGTCTCTATGTACCTATAAAAAATGTTCATGTACAGCTTTTTATAAAGTATTGTGTAACAATATAATGAGTCAATATACAGTACCAGTCAAAAGTTTGGATACACCTACTCATTCAAGGGTTTTTCTTTATTTTTACTATTTTCTACATTGTAGAATAATAGTGAAGACATCAAAACTATGAAATAACACATATGGAATCATGTAGTAACCAAAATAGGGTTAAACAAATCAAAATATACTTTATACACTGCTCAAAAAAATAAAGGGAACACTAAAATAACACATCCTAGATCTGAATGAATGAAATAATCTTATTAAATACTTTTTTCTTTACATAGTTGAATGTGCTGACAACAAAATCACACAAAAATTATCAATGGAAATCAAATTATCAACCCATGGAGGTCTGGATTTGGAGTCACCCTCAAAATTAAAGTGGAAAACCACGCTACAGGCTGATCCAACTTTGATGTAATGTACTTAAAACAAGTCAAAATGAGGCTCAGTAGTGTGTGTGGCCTCCACGTGCCTGTATGACCTCCCTACAACGCCTGGGCATGCTCCTGATGAGGTGGCGGATGGTCTCCTGAGGGATCTCCTCCCAGACCTGGACTAAAGCATCCGCCAACTCCTGGACAGTCTGTGGTGCAACGTGGCGTTGGTGGATGGAGCGAGACATGATGTCCCAGATGTGCTCAATTGGATTCAGGTCTGGGGAACGGGCGGGCCAGTCCATAGCATCAATGCCTTCCTCTTGCAGGAACTGCTGACACACTCCAGCCGCATGAGGTCTAGCATTGTCTTACATTAGGAGGAACCCAGGGCCAACCGCACCAGCATATGGTCTCACAAGGGGTCTGAGGATCTCATCTCGGTACCTAATGGCAGTCAGGCTACCTCTGGCGAGCACATGGAGGGCTGTGCGGCCCCCCAAAGAAATGCCACCCCACACCATGACTGACCCACCGCCAAACCGGTCATGCTGGAGGATGTTGCAGGCAGCAGAACGTTCTCCACGGCGTCTCCAGACTCTGTCACGTCTGTCACATGTGCTCAGTGTGAACCTGCTTTCATCTGTGAAGAGCACAGGGCGCCAGTGGCGAATTTGCCAATCTTGGTGTTCTCTGGCAAATGCCAAACGTCCTGCACGGTGTTGGGCTGTAAACACAACCCCCACCTGTGGACGTCAGTCCCTCATAACACCCTCATGGAGTCTGTTTCTGACCGTTTGAGCAGACACATGCACATTTGTGGCCTGCTGGAGGTCATTTTGCAGGGCTCTGACAGTGCTCCTCCTGCTCCTCCTTGCACAAAGGCGGAGGTAGCAGTCCTGCTGCTGGGTTGTTGCCCTCCTACGGCCTCCTCCACGTCTCCTGATGTACTGGCCTGTCTCCTGGTAGTGCCTCCATGCTCTGGACACTACGCTGACAGACACAGCAAACCTTCTTGCCACAGCTCGCATTGATGTGCCATCCTGGATGAGCTGCACTACCTGAGCCACTTGTGTGGGTTGTAGACTCCGTCTCATGCTACCACTAGAGTGAAAGCACCGCCAGCATTCAAAAGTGACCAAAACATCAGCCAGGAAGCATAGGAACTGAGAAGTGGTCTGTGGACACCACCTGCAAAACCAGTCCTTTATTGGGGGTGTCTTGCTAATTGCCTATAATTTCCACCTGTTGTCTATTCCATTTGCACAACAGCATGTGAAATGTATTGTCAATCAGTGTTGCTTCCTAAGTGGACAGTTTGATTTCACAGAAGTGTGATTGACTTGGAGTTACATTGTGTTGTTTAAGTGTTCCCTATATTTTTTTGAGCAGTGTATATTAGATTCTTCAAAGTAGCCACCCTTTGCCTTGATGACAGCTTTGCACACTCTTGGCATTCTCTCAACTAGTTTCACCTGGAATGCTTTTCCAACAGTCTTGAAGGAGTTCCCACATATGCTGAGCACTTGTTGGCTGCTTTTCCTTCACTCTGCGGTCCAACTCATCCCAAACCCTCTCAATTGGGTTGAGGTCGGGTGATTGTGGAGGCCAGGTCATCTGATACAGCACTCCATCACTCTCCTTCTTGGTCAAATAGCCCTTACACAGCCTGGAGGTGGGTTGGGTCAATGTCCTGTTAAAAAACAAGCAAGTCTCTTCTTATTATTGGTGTCCTTTAGTAGTGGTTTTTTTGCAGCAATTTGACCATGAAGGCCAGATTCACTCAGTCTCCTCTGAACAGTTGATGTTGAGATGTGTCTGTTACTTGAACTCTGTGAAGCATTTATTTGGGCTGCAATTTCTGAGGCTGGTAACTCTAATGAACTTATCCTCTGTAGCAGAGGTAACTCTGGGTCTTCCTTTCCTGTGGCGGTCCTCATGAGAGTCAGTTTCATCATAGCGCTTGATGGTTTTTGCGACTGCACATGAAGAAACTTTCAAAGTTGTTTAAATGTTCCGGATTGACTGACCTTCATGTCTTAAAGTAATGATGGACTGTCATTTCTCTTTGCTTATTTTAGCTGTTCTTGCCATAATATGGACTTGGTCTTTTACCAAATAGGGCTATCTTCTGTATACCACCCCTACCTTGTCACAACACAACTGATTGGCTCAAACGCATTAAGAAGGAAATAATTTCCACAAATTAACTTTTAAGAAGGCACACCTGTTAATTGAAATGCATTCCAGGTGACTACCTCATGAAGCTGGTTGAGAGAATGCCAAGAATGTGCAAAGCTGTCATCAAGGCAAAGGGTGGCTGCTTCTTGGGTAAATCTCATAAGAGCTTTCCACACCTGTATTGTGCAATAGTTTCCCATTATTCTTTTCAATATTCTTCAAGCTCTGTGAAGGTGTTGGGGATCATGGCTAGATAGCAATTATCAAGTCTTGCCATAGATGTTCAAGCAGATTTATATCCAAACTGTAACTTGGCCACTCAGGAACATTCACTGTCTTCTTAGTAAGCAACCCCAGTGTAGCTTTGGCTTTGTTTTGTAGATTATTGTCCTGCTGAAAGGTGATTTCCTCTGGTGTAAAGCAGACTGAAGCAGGTTTTCCTCTAGGATTTGCCTGTGCTTAGCTCCATCCCGTTTCTTTTCATCCTAAAAAACTCTGTCTTTGCTGATGTCAGGCATACCCATACCGTGATGCAGCCACCACCATGCTTGAATTTAAGGAGGCAGTTACTCAGTGATAATAATAATAATATAATAATATGCCATTTAGCAGATGCTTTTATCCAAAGCGACTTACAGTCATGCGTGCATACATTTTTGTGTATGGGTGGTCCCGGGGATCGAACCCACTACCTTGGCGTTACAAGCGCTGTGCTCTACCAGCTGAGCTACAGAGGACCACAGCTGAGGTACAGAGGACCACGATGTGATGTGTTGTGTTGGATTCACACCAAACATAAGGCTTTGCATTAGGCCAAAAAGTGTATTCCTTTGGTGTGTTTTTTATGCAGGATTACTTTAGTGCCTTGTTGCATACATATGCATGTTATGGAATATTAATATTCTGTATATTTGTATTCTTCTTTTCACTCAGTCATTATTGTGGAGTCACTACAATGTTGTTGATCCATCCTCAGTTTTTTCCCATCACAGCCATTGAACTCTGTAGCTGTTTTAAAATCACCAAAGGCCTCATGGTGACATCCCTAAGCAGTTTCCTTCCTTTCCTGCAGCTCAGTTCAGAAGGATGACTGCATCTTTGATGTGTCTGGGTGGTTTAATACATAATCCACAGCATAATTATTAACTTGACCATGCTTAAAGATGTATTCAATGTCTGATTTGTTATTGTTACCCATCTACCCATCTACCTATGTATGGCGGACAGAGGAGCCATTCAAAAATCATGTCAACCCATATTATTTCACACAGAGTGAGTCCATATAACTTATTATGTGATTGGTGAAGCCACATTTTACTTCTGAATTAATCTAGGCTTGCCTAAACAAAGGGAGTGAATACTTATGCAACAACTATATTTAATTGGTATTAATTTTTAAAGATTTGTAGAATTTTCTTTTCACTTTGACATTATGGAGTATGTTGTGTCAATTACAAAAAAGGACAATTAAATCTATTTCAATCCCACTTCGTAACGCAACAAAAATGTGAAAAAAGTTCAAGGGCGTGTAGACTTTCTATAGGCACTGTATATGACCACTAGAGAGGAACAGTGTTTCCCAAAGCCAAGTTATTTGGTTTACTATTTGGTAAAATCTTCTATTCAAACTTTAATTCACTAACATCTTTCATTTTCTCTGACTCCTCCCTTTATTTTCCCTCTCTTAACCCTCGCTCTCAATGTATCTTTCCCTCTCTTAACCCTCGCTCTCAATTTATCTTTCCCTCTCTTCCTTTTGCTTATTATCTCTCTACGTCTCTTTCTGTCCATGTCTCATACCTGATCTTGCTCTCGTCTCACACCTCCCCCTCTCTTCCTCCCATCCTCCCTCTCCTCCCCTCTAGGTAAGGACATCCTAAGGGAGACCATTAAGTTCATGTACACCGACTGGGCCGACCGTGACAACGGAGACATGAGGAGAAAAACCCTCCTCGCCCTGTTCACGGACCACCAGTGGGTGGCACCGGCGGTGGCCACGGCCAAACTGCACGCCGAGTTCCAGTCTCCCGTTTACTTCTACACCTTCTACCACCACTGTCAGACGGAGACGCGGCCGGAGTGGGCGGACGCGGCCCACGGGGATGAGATTCCCTACGTGTTCGGGGTGCCAATGATCGGAGCCACCGACCTCTTCCCCTGCAACTTCTCTAAGAATGATGTCATGCTCAGTGCTGTAGTCATGACGTACTGGACTAACTTCGCTAAGACCGGGTAGGTGGTTGTGGGTAGGTGGTAGGTTGGCAGGTGGTTGTGGGTAGGTGGTAGGTTGGTAGGTGGTAGGTGGTTGTGGGTAGGTTGTAGGTTGGTAGGTGGTAGGTGGTTGTGGGTAGGTTATAGGTTGGTATGTGGTAGGTTGGTAGGTGGTAGGTTGGTAGGTGGTAGAAGATAGAGGGTGGGAATGGTGTTTTGGTTTGTTCTCCCTCTTGAGGACTATTTCATTTAGGGCTCTATTCAATCCTTAGTGCTGAAGATCCACTTTATAGCGCGATTGACAATTCATGGCAATGTTCCCGCGGTCGCGGTGACTGCATTCAGGGTAAACACTGCATATTTCGGCTCAATCGGAAATTACCATAACATTTTTATGCAGATCTTCCGTGATACAGTACTTCGGTTGTACGGTTTGAATCGAGACCCCCATGTCTATGATTTGCAGCCCTAACAAGAGTATCATACTGTATGTAAAAAGCTAAATTCAATTTCTTTTGATTTTTAATTTATAAAAAATTTAATGTTTGCTTGTATCAAATTCATGAGGTTATTTAGCAGTGAAATATACACTGAGTGTACAAAACATTAAGAGCACCCCCCCTCAGAACAGCTTCAATTCGGGCATGGACTTTACAAGGTGTCGAAAGCTTTCCACCGGGATGCTGGCCCATGTTGACTTCAATGCTTCCCACAGTTCTGTCAAGTTGGCTGGATGTCCTTTGGGTGGTGGACCATTCTTGATACACACAGGAAACTGTTGAGCGTGAAAAATCGAGCAGCGTTGCAGTTCTTGACACAAACCGGTGCGCCTGGCACCTACTACCATACCCCGTTCAAAGGCACTTAAATATTTTGTCTTGCCCATTCACCCTTTGAATGGCACACATACACAATCCATGTCTCAATTGTCTCTGCCTAAAAATCCTTCTTTAACCTGTCTTCTTCCCCTTCATCTACACTGATTGAAGTGGATTTAACAATAAGAGATCATAGCTTTCACCTGGATTCACCTGGTCAGTCTGTCACGGAAAGAGCAGGTGTCCTTAATGTTTTGTACACTCAGTGTATGTATGTAATAACTTATCTAAATTTGATTGAAATCACCTGAGTGAGATTCATTCTCTTTCCCCTCCAGAGACCCCAATCTGCCAGTGCCTCAGGACACCAAGTTCATCCACACCAAGCCCAACCGCTTCGAAGAGGTCATCTGGACAAAGTTCAACTCCAAGGACAAGCAGTACCTCCACATCGGCCTGAAGCCCCGCGTCCGAGACAACTACCGGGCCAACAAGGTGGCCTTCTGGCTGGAGCTAGTCCCTCATCTACACTCCCTCCATGAAGTCTTGAACCCCACCACTACCAGGCTACCTCCAGGCAGCACTCACCCCCCCGGGGGCCCCTGGAAGCCCAAACCCCGCACCACGGGCCACCCCTACCCCACCTTCCCCGACCCCGTGGAGCCCTACGGATCAGAGCGGCCCAGACTGGATCTCTTTCCCGGTGACACGCGGGATTATTCCACAGAGCTGTCGGTGACAGTGGCAGTGGGGGCGTCGCTACTCTTCCTCAACATCCTGGCGTTCGCCGCGCTCTACTACAAGCGGGACAAGCGGCAGGAGATGCGGCGCCACCGGCTGTCTCCACAGCGCCACGGCGGGCCCGCCAACGACCTGGCGCACAGCCAGGAGGAAGAGATCATGTCCCTGCAGATGAAGCACTCGGAGCACGACCCCCACCACGACATGGAGCCCCTCCGGCCCCACGACATCCTGCGGCCCGCCTGCCCGCCCGACTACACCCTGGCCCTGCGGAGGGCCCCGGACGACGTGCCCCTCATGACCCCAAACACCATCACCATGATCCCCAGCACCATCACCGGCATGCAGCCCCTCCACCCCTTCAACACCTACCCCAGCACCGGCCACAACAACACCCTGCCCCACCCCCACTCCACCACACGTGTATAGTAGAGCTACAGCTCCCCCTGGGGGACCGGAGGACCAACTACACACTCTGGTTTACCTCTATTGGATCTCTATGGATATCGCTCTCTCTCTTACTCTCTGTTTCTCCAACCGTCAGCCTGCTGCCCTGATGCTGTGTTCTTCCTACAGTGGAAGTGCAGCTGAACTGCAGGGGCAGCAGGTGTTATTGGGGGCATTGAGACATTTAGAAACTATTTTGAGGGGGTCTCGTATTCTCTGATTCTCTGACCCCGACAGCCCCCAAACCTTCACAGGACGATCCTCTGGCTCTTGCTGTGCATTTCATTTTGTCATTTTTTCATCAAACTTTTTCTCAGTTTCTGTGCTGTAATAGGGTTGGGGACAGAGGAGGTTGGTGGGAGGAGCTATAGGAGGACGGGGTCATTGTAATGGCTGGAATGGGATGAATGGAACAGAGTCAAATATGTGGTTTCCATATGTTTGATGTGTTTGATACCGTTCCATAATTCCATTCCAGCCATTACAACGAGCCCGTCCTCCTATAGCTCCTCCCAACAGCCTCCACTGGTTGGGGATAGTTTTTTTGGGGTGTGGGGTAAAGGGGTTGGCTCCCTTTCCTTCTGATATATTGGAAACCTCTATCTCTCTACTCATCTCATCTGCTTACTTGATATAGTGTCTTCTCTTTTCTGCACCCCTCTCTTTCCCTCCTCTGTAGTTCTAAACCAACCTGTTTTATACAAGGCGTACAGGACATACAGGAAGTATATCATGAAAATATTGGTATTCTGATATCGTCTTTCTACCAGCATTCTTGGTGCCAAGTACTGTGTTGTTTTCCCATAGGAGGGGAACTGAGATAGAATCAAGAGTGTTGAGCTGTATCAAGATAGCCTACTTACTGTGTGTTCATGAAAAGTGCCAAACTGGCCTATCTTGTGCTTTTTTCGTTATCTTTTTTCAATGTTTGTTTGTTTGATTGATTGTTGCTTTCGGTTCTTATTTTTTGTGGAAAGATTTTTAAATATATAGATATATAGACATATATATAGTTATATATAAATGTGTACAAAGAAGAAAATATCCTAAATGGTTTTCTCAATGGGGATCTATGCATGAATTATTTTAAAAACCGATAATGGGGAAAGGATACTGGATTGTCAATATTCACACACACATCTCCTGTTTTAAACTATTTCTATCTCAATTTCAGATGCTTTTTCTTCATATTTTATTTTCTGCAAGGGAAAAAAAACTGGAGGCACGTCACAAAACCACTGCAGCGGTGCTTCATTCATTTTCAACATTATCCTTTACAACAACGAAAAACCTGACTGGACCAAACATGAATAAAAACAATTATTATACACATTGATTATCCAACACATTGCTCATGTTGGTCATCTCCCATCCTTATTGCTTCCTATCTACTATTGCACTACAGACTACATGCTACCCCAAACAAATCAACTACCCCAGTAAATCAAATCAATCTTTATTTATACAACACATTTCATACAAAGCGAGTGCAATCCAATGCACTTTACAGAAAGAACACTAAACAGAAAAGAAACAAGACTACATTTCAATCACATAAAGACCAATTTCTCTGTCTCACATCCTCCTCCTGCTCTGCTATCATCAAGCCAGGGCCCCTGAGGGCCCCTCTTATGTAATGTGAGTTATTGGTGCCACTGTAGCAGCTCTGTCTTTGTCTCGTAATAACCAGGCCATCCACTGAGCCTTGGGCCCCTGTCTCTCTGTGACTCATTATGGCAGGCATGGAAGCCATAGACTGCCACTGAAATGGCATCCAATTCCCTATATAGTGCACTACTGTGGCCAGTCAGGCCAAAAGTAGTGCACTATATAGGGAATAGGGTGCCATTTTGGACAAAGTCCTAGAGGTATTGGTGTCCATTATGCTCAGGCCAAAAGAAGTGCACTATATAGGGAATAGGGTGCCCTAGAGGTATTGACGCTGCAGGTAGACCTATTGTTTATCATGTGAAACCTGCCAGGCTTAAGGTTCTCAGAGGTCCTGGGTGGGAAGGTCCATACAGTAAAGTATTGGATCCTCAGATCACATGACTTTCCTAATGATGTTACAATGGAGGAGAGAAAAGGACAGGTAGTTCTCAATCTCCCTCTTTCTTTCACACACTCTATCCTTCTCTCCTCCCGTCTTCGCCTCGATTTCTAGCACATACATATGCTGTTTGATGAACGTCTGTGCGCGTGTGTACATGTCAGCACACAGGGGCATGGGTAATCGGAGTGCAGAGAGAGCGATGGAGGGAGATGGAGTGTGTGTGAGAGACAGACAGACATCTCATATCAGAGGCTCATCCCCAATGATACGAAACCCCACTCCCAAAATAACATTCCTCCAACTGCTTACACACACACTCCTCCATTCTTCCTCTCATTCTATTTTCCCCATCCCTTTCTCCTTTCCTCCACCAGTAAACACCCTTTTGATTCAAGACTGCTGTACATGCAATATCACTAACTAAATTTGTGGAAAGTTGAGAGTAGAAGTCGCAGACTTTTCAACTCGTAACTTCACTGTGTACTGTCATTGAGCCCTGCATCTCCTGACCCTTCACCCCTGACCCCTCACCCTGCTGACTCTGTTGTTCTCACATCCCCTTAGCTCCACTGCTGTACATTGAACTCTAAGCACACGGAGGAAAGACTGGGGTCTATCAGGCAGGCCAGGGTCTGGGATAACAGAGCTGGGAAGAGGACGGGGGAGTAAGAGGTCCTTAGACCAATGGACAGCAAAGTGATCTGCTGTTTTTTCTCTTCTTTCCTTTTTTTGAACAGGGAGGGGCACGTAAAAGTCAAGGGAAAGCCTATTGATAACACCCCCGTCCGTAATGCTATGACATGGCCAGCAGAGGGGGCTGATGGGTGAATGTGATTAATCCAACTGAACTGTAGAGCTGTGTGTGAACTCACAGTGCACTGTAGAATCCTCGATGGGAAACCGTTAGCGACAGTGTTGTCTCTGCTTGTGTTTAGCTTTAGACATTTCTTTGGTTACTATTTTATTACTGCTTGAAGGTGGGGGTGTGTGAGAGAACACACATTGGTATAGTCAGATACTCTGTGTTGTCCTACTGAGTGAGACAGTGTGTGGTGGGGAAATAGGGGAGGTGATCCGCTGCACAATATACTGTAACAAAGACTGGGGTTGTGTATGTGGAATCGGAGGGAGTCATTGGACTTACATCCTGGAACTTTTCTCTCTGCTACAGACATGGACTTAATATAAGATGTGCTATTGGACTCGAAGATGTAACCTGGGAGAGAGCCCCAAAGCCTCCAAGTCATCATCACAGCCTTAAACAAAGGGGAAAGGGTGTGAGATGTGACTGGGACAGTGGACAGACTAGGGCACCGACATCTTATTTCAGCTGTGGAAACGATCGGATACATCTATCTGTCCTATCAAGTCTTTGTGCCATTAGATCCTAGTGAACTTTTTTATCCTGTGAATAAGAGGGCAATGGAAGATCGCAGAGGAAACTAGTACTACTACAAATACAACACAACAAAACTTCAACCAATAGAGCGACAGATGCTATTTCCTTTTTTCTGTTATTTTCCTTGTCTATTTTATATGCTTACACACTAGAGGGCGCCATGGTGACACAACCGCCATAACAACCTACCTTTCCTCTGAACATTCTGAATGTGGAGGAATACAGCGTTTTGCGACAGAGAGGAGCAAAACTGTACATTTTTAAGTGTAAGAACAAACAGACAAAAATATTTGTAAATATAACGTTTCTTGTTTGTTTTTTCGAGTGAATGAATGACATGACTTTGTGACAACAACAGAGACAACAGGTGCAAGTTGAAAAGGGCCCTCCAGCTAGTATTGTATGTTAACTGTACGCCATTTTAATGTATTCGCTCGTGAACTCTTTCGAAAGATTCAGGAAAGTGGGTTTCTAGTTCTATTAGTTATTTCAGTGCATGTAACTAACAAAGTTGTTCAGAAGTGGATAGACAATGGACATTCAGAACAAAGGCATAAAGAGTTGTCTTTGTAGCATCTTGACTACTCAACCTGTGTAAGCACTAAGCAAACACCGTAGCAGGGATACTGACCCATTCTCATTCTATGCTGTTGGTTATAGGGTCTCTCCCACATTCAAATGGGACATGCATAACTGCAGGCCTGTATTAGCTGTGTACCACGCCAGCCTATCTGGATGATGCAGCACACCTTAAAGGTGGAATCTTTCACTTCCACCACCCATGTGGCAACTACAAACATAGTCAAGAAGCAAAAAAGTCATCTCTACCCCTGTGTACAAACCTTTAAAAACATCCTTGTGGCTTTTTCAATTTGTATATTCACTCCCTGTTGACTTTCGTACTGTTGTGTAGCCGCAGAACCACAGGGAGACAGAGAAACGATGGCTTTTTGTAACCTAAGATGCCTATGATCTAGCCTGTTCCCAGATCTGTTTGTGCCGTCTTGCCAACTCCTACGGTCATTGTCGCGACTAGGAGTTCACAAGACAGCACAAACAGATCTGGGAGCAGGCTACATCTTATCCTCATCGGAAATCACATACGGGTGGATACACCCCCTGAATACACTGTGTTACGTACAAAATGCGTCCTGTTCATGTAGGTTGTGCAATCTCTACTACAGTGACCTCATCATAAGCTATTGGTACACCTAAGCTTGCCTTCCAGGTGGAAAACTGCATGACAAGGCATGTACATAGGTAGTGTGTGTGTATATGTGAGAGCATGTGTTAGGATAGCTCATTTGGTGTGAATGTGTAGGTGTGGACTCCATTTTGTTGTAGCCTTAGTTAGGACTAATGCAGAGGGAGCTGATATCTATAGTGTTAGTTTAATATGACTTTGAAACAATTGACCCGACCAAATAAATCCATATTGGATTTTAATGTATCATTCCCTGCACAAGAAGAAAGTCATAATTTTTGGTGCACAACCAATTTTGTTAACAGTGTTCAATGATAAAAGCCACATCAGTTATAAAGCAGTTGTCGCAATTTTATATATTTGCCAGAGTGATGCTCTGTTAAACACCTGTTCTGAACTAAAAGGTAGAACATAACAATGTTTCATGTAGTTGAATTTCCTGCCTTGCTCGTGACTACATGTCATGGTTGACCTTCAAAACAGAGAAATGGTTGTCTATGGTATGGTCTAGGTACCCGAGAGTCCAGTTATACTGAAGCACATGACCAATAACCCTGGGAAACATTCTGAGCTGGGTGTCAGTTAGGCCTGCATAGTCAAATTTGCACCTGTTGTCTTGTTTTTACTTTCTTTGTTGAATTCAGAAACCCAAGCCATGAGATGAAGAAAACATGTTAATAATGGATTTTAAAAACATATTATAATTAAAAAAAGTAAAGTAAAACTATATAAATAAGGTGATGATATTTGTTTACTTTAGAAGTTATGATACACTGTATGCTGGGATTCTGATGTGGGGAACATTAAAGACATTCATAGCCAGACGGTCGACTATGCTTCTTCATTGACCTACTGCACCCGTTCAACTCCATTTAGAACACAGCTTTTTCATTAAAAACGATGTGATTATTGGAATACATCAGTGGAATACCACTACCTTGCCAATATGTTACATCAAGAAACTTGTGAGAACTTGTTTTTATACTGCTTTGAGGTAATAAGACTAGTAAATATTCAGCTAATATTAATAAGTGCGGCTTTCTTACAGAGAAGCGAACAGACAAGCAAACTTGAATACGTTTATTTTAATCTCTAACTGTTTGAAAAATGGAAGTGTTTATGTACATTACAATCTAAGAGAACATTGCCCTTTTGAAAAATTACACTTTTCAACACTTGACTGAATCAAATCAGAATCAGTCATAGGGTAATAACAATGCGTGGTTTGATCCAACTTAACAAAATTACATTAAAATGAAATGTTAACCCTACTCACCAAAACTAAGTAAAAACAAATGTGTCAAGAAAACATTTATTTTCTAAATATGACCATTTGGATTCTCAAAACGTATAAGGCATGAATAAAATGAAGTAACTTTTAAACTTTGTTTACTTACATAATTGAAATTATTAAGCATTGAAAAATGTATTTAGCATCAGACCCTAGTACCCTAGGTAGACTGAGTCACGCTCAGTTCATGGAATAAGTATTCTGTAAATTGCTTTTAAGCAATGCACATAACACCCACAATGTTGTTTGGCCAGTAGCAAAGGCCAAGTGCAAGACATATCATACCAGCTACCATTCCATGGCTTTTTTTTATAGAGTGCCTATTCTGCTTATAGTTTACTGGAAAAATCCCAGAGAGGAGAATTGAACAATTTCTGGACCCAGAGAGTTGGTGACTACTGTAGGTCTGAGACAGGTTGGTGAACAACGCAGCTTTCTTCTGACACTGATCATGTCCATTGAACAAGTATTTGAAGTCTGCCAAGTAAATACCTTTGAACTGATCAAGGCACCAACGAGGATTGTTGTCATGTATGAACTGTTCATTCAGTTTCTGGAAGATCCTGGCTGCAAACCCACAAATGTGCAATTTGATGTTGTTCAAATGTGAGGCTTGTGTCCAGGTCCTAGTTGGCATCCAACTTCTCTTCAATCAGGTGCAGAATCTCTTGAATGTATGTGTCATGTCATGGTAGTCTTTTCTTTTCAACCTTCGAGCACAAACGCTTTGCATTTAGCTATAAGTTTGTCTGCCTTGGCTTGGGTTTTCCTTGTGTGCTCATCCACGTAAAAAACAATCAATTTCTTGAAGAACCCTGCTGGAAAGATTTTGATGGGGTTCTGTTGCATAATCTTCAAGTCTCACTTTGTTCAGCTTTTCATTCACTGAACCTCCCATCTGCACCATGTTGGACTGAAGCTGGTTGAAAACATTACGTCCTGTGGCCTCAATCCTACAAAGTTACAGCTCTTGCACGGTTTCCTCCCACACCTTTTCAAATTCTCTGTCAAGGTCAGGAAACAGATTTAGACTCTTTCTACAGTTGACACACAACTTGATGTAGGCATCAGCCACCAGGCTGTCTCTGAAGCTGGAGATGACATTTCCGTACTTCACAGAATTCCAGAGGCTTTTGATCCACTCCAGTAAGTCCATGTTGTTGTTCCCAGAGGCTTCATAGTTCTGGAAGACCTTGATCATGTTTTTGTTTTTGTTACTCGTAGACTGACCTGCTGTACCCAGCATTGACTGGTGGTGCCATTGGTGGGTTTCCATGCCAAAGTCCAAGTACCAGTTTCTGGGTTGTACTCATTTACATTTTAGTCATTTAGCAGACGCTCTTATCCAGAGCGACTAACAGTTAGTGAGTGCATACATTTATCATACTACTCCATGGCTATTCTAAAAGTTGTAATAGAGGAGTCGAATAATGGAACACCAAATACTAGCAATGATAGGGATTGTAATATTAAATAACATTTATAGTAAGTATAGTATTTTTAAAAAAAAAGGATAAAACGATATAACAAGAAAAGATAACAAGCAGAATAATACATCTTCAAATACAACTAATTAGAACATGGCTTTTTTGGCAGGCAATTGTTGTTTTGGCGGGCGGTTGTTATGGTTGGTCCTGTGTTCTCCCTGGCGTCCTTTCCCCTTTGCGGCAGGTGAGGGATGCGGGTGCGTTTGCGCGCTCGGCCTGTTTCCTCCACAGTCAACCATGTGGTGTGCATTTTTGTGTTTGGAAGGGTGCGGCGTTAAGTGAGTGAGAGGGGAAATGGTTGCATATCCCAGAGCCGACGGGTGTCTATGAGCAGGGGTAGTGAGAGAGAGCTTTCAATTTTGTGTAGATGAGGGATATACATTTTTTAATATATTATACATCTAATCTAACTTTTTATTGTCCTATCATGATGGAAAGATCCCCAACCCTATATCCTGGACACCCACCTGAGTGACCCATACACCAAAGAGAAATTCCCATCTGTTTTATGGACCTGCTGTGAGTATGCAGCCTAAACAGAGAAATAAATGCGTTCAGAGACCTACTTGAGCAGCACTGCCCCCTCAGGATTCTGAGCCTGCCTGGCAGGGTTGGTCATACAAAGCCAGAGCCCCCTGATGGGAGAGCATTATATACAAGGAAATTCTCAAAGCTGCTAATGAGAACCTTGACAACCTTGTAGCTAGCCGGTGGGGATTCCGGTGGGGTACCCCCACCCAGGTACAGTGGGGAAAAAAGTATTTAATCAGCCACCAATTGTGCAAGTTCTCCCACTTAAAAAGATGAGAGAGGCCTGTCATTTTCATCATAGGTACACGTCAACTATGACAGACAAATTGAGAAAAAATAATCCAGAAAATCACATTGTAGGATTTTTAATGAATTTATTTGCAAATTATGGTGGAAAATAAGTATTTGGTCACCTACAAACAAGCAAGATTTCTGGCTCTCACAGACCTGTAACTTCTTCTTTAAGAGGCTCCTCTGTCCTCCACTCGTTACCTGTATTAATGGCACCTGTTTGAACTTGTTATCAGTATAAAAGACACCTGTCCACAACCTCAAACAGTCACACTCCAAACTCCACTATGGCCAAGACCAAAGAGCTGTCAAAGGACACCAGAAACAAAATTGTAGACCTGCACCAGGCTGGGAAGACTGAATCTGCAATAGGTAAGCAGCTTGGTTTGAAGAAATCAACTGTGGGAGCAATTATTAGGAAATGGAAGACATACAAAACCACTGATAATCTCACTCGATCTGGGGCTCCATGCAAGATCTCACCCCGTGGGGTCAAAATGATCACAAGAACGGTGAGCAAAAATCCCAGAACCACACGGGGGGACCTAGTGAATGACCTGCAGAGAGCTGGGACCAAAGTAACAAAGCCTACCATCAGTAACACACTACGCCGCCAGGGACTCAAATCCTGCAGTGCCAGACGTGTCCCCCTGCTTAAGCCAGTACATGTCCAGGCCCGTCTGAAGTTTGCTAGAGTGCATTTGGATGATCCAGAAGAGGATTGGGAGAATGTCATATGGTCAGATGAAACCAAAATATAACTTTTTGGTAAAAACTCAACTCGTCGTGTTTGGAGGACAAAGAATGCTGAGTTGCATCCAAAGAACACCATACCTACTGTGAAGCATGGGGGTGGAAACATCATGCTTTGGGGCTGTTCTTCTGCAAAGGGACCAGGACGACTGATCCGTGTAAAGGAAAGAATGAATGGGGCCATGTATCGTGAGATTTTGAGTGAAAACCTCCTTCCATCAGCAAGGGCATTGAAGATGAAACGTGGCTGGGTCTTTCAGCATGACAATGATCCCAAACACACCGCCCGAGCAATGAAGGAGTGGCTTCGTATGAAGCATTTCAAGGTCCTGGAGTGGCCTAGCCAGTCTCCAGATCTCAACCCCATAGAAAATCTTTTGAGGGAGTTGAAAGTCCGTGTTGCCCAGCGACAGCCCCAAAACATCACTGCTCTAGAGGAGATCTGCATGGAGGAATGGGCCACAGTAATTATTTGCTAGGATAATAATTGCTTGTAAATAAATTAAATGTAATATAATGGCAATTCGGGTTGTATGTTGAGATCCTGCGCATGAACTGCCGACATTGTTACGCATATTAATTGATAATGATGGAAAATAAGATATGCAGGATATTTGAATAAATATATACTGCTGCTACTACAGCTACTACTACTACAGCTACTACTACTACTACTACCACCACTACTACTACTACAGCTAATATTACTACTGCTACTACTACTATAACTACTACTACAACTACTACTACTACTATAACTATTACTACTACTGCTACTACTACTAATAATAATAATAATACTGCTACTGCTACTACAACTAATACAACTACTACTACTACTACTACTACTACTACTACTACTGCTACTGCTATTACTACTATAACTACTACTACTATAACTACTGCTACTACTAATACAGCTACTACTACAGCTACTATTACTACTACCACTACTACTACTACTACTACTACTACTACAGCTACTACTACTACTAATAATACTACTACTGCTACTACTACTACAGCTACTACTAATAATAATACTACTACTACTGCTACTACTACTACTACTACAGCTACTGCTGCTACTACTACTAAAACTACTACTGCTACTACTACTATAACTATTACTACTACTACTACTACTACTAATACTACTACAGCTACTATTACTACTGCTACTACTACTAATACTACTACTACTACTACAACTACTACTACTGCTACTACTACTATAACTACTACTAATACTAATACTACATCTACTACTACTACAACTACTACTATTACTAATACAAGTACTACTACAGCTACTATTACTACTGCTACTACTACTAATACTAGCCAAGCTAGTCGTCTTGACTTCTTTCTTATCTCATTCTCGTTGGCACCAAAAGTTTAAAAAGTGTTGATAGGGGACCGAATGCGGTCGGACCATCATATAATTGGCATATACATTACTCTTACTGAATTTCCACGTGGGTGAGGGTATTGGACATTTAATCAAAGCCTATTGGATGATAATTTATTTTTAACTAGGACAAATGAATTTATAACTGACTTTTTCTGACATAACATAGGTACAGCAAATCCCCTTATTGTATGGGACACCTTTAAATGTGCCTTTAGAGGCCATGCAATTCAATAATCATCTCGAAAACAAAAGCAATTTAGGTCAAAAGAGTTTATACTAACAAAGGAAATAGAAAGTCTAACAGAACAGATAGATGGCAATAAAAACTGTAACATAGAGGCTCAGAATAAATTAGAGGAAAAACAAAAAGAAATGGAGAAACTTATTCAAGAAAGATCAAGTGTAATATATTATAAAAAATAAAGCAAACTGGGTGGAAAATGGGGTAAAATGCACCAAATTCTTTTTTAATCTTCAACATAGGAATGCTACCAAAAAGAATTTAATGAAACTGGTTACAATTGACGGAACCCATGATTCACCAAATGATATTTTGAAGGAGGAAGCAAAGTACTTTAAGCATATGTTTTCGTTTCAGTCGCCGCCATCTCCTCTAACTGAAGCTAATTGTAGAGATTTTTTTCTATTGATAATGTAAAAATAACAGCCATATAGAAAGACTCATGTGAAGGTGAAATTACAGAGGAGGAACTTCTGGATGCAATTAAATACTTTAAGTCCGGGAAAACTCCAGGGTTGGATGGCATACCAGTCGAGGTATACCAAACCTTTTTTGATATACTAAGAGGACCGTTATTAGCATGTTTTAACCACTACTATGTAAATGGTAGATTATCTGACACTCAAGAAGAAGATCTCATTATTACTGAAACAGGATACAAGTGGAAAATATAAAGATCCAGTTCATTTAAAAAAATTGGAGGCCCCTTACACTTCAGTGTTGTGATGCAAAAATTCTAGCAAAATGTATAGCGCATAGAATTAAAAAGGTATTGTCGGATATTATTCATTCTAATCAGACAGGTTTTTTACATGAAAGATAATATAAGGCAAGTATTGGAAACATTAGAACACTGTGGAAAATCTGGGAAACCAGGCCTGCTATTCATAGCAGACTTCAAAAAGGCATTTGATAAAGTACGACTGGGGTTTATATATAAATGCCTGGAGCATTTCAATTTTGGAGAATCTCTTATAAAATGGGTCAAAATCATGTATAGTAACCCTAGGTGTAAAATAGTAAATAATGGCTATTTCTCAGAAAGTTTTAAACTGTCAAGAGGAGTGAAACAAGGTTGTCCACTATCGGCATATCTATTTGTTGTGGCCATCGAGATGTTAGCTATTAAAATCAGATCCAACAATAATATCAGGGGATTAGAAATCCAGAGCTTAAAAACAAAGGTGTCATTGTACGCAGATGATTCATGTTTTCTTTTAAATCCACAACTAGAATCCCTCCACAGCCTCATAGAGGATCTAGATACATTTTCTAACCTCTCTGGATTACAACCAAATTATGACAAATGTACTATATTACGTATTGGATCACTAAAAAATAAAAATTTTACATTGCCATGTAGTTTACCAATAAAATGGTCTGATGGTGATGTGGATATACTCGGAATACATATCCCAAAGGAAATAAATGATCTCACTTCAATACATTTTAATAGAAAGTTAGCAAAAATAGATAAGATCTTGCTACCATGGAAAGGTAAATACCTGATTAACTCTTTAGTTTTATCCCAGTTTACCTATTTGCTTATGGTCTTGCCTATGCCTAGCTGTCACGCCCTGGCTCTGGGGACACTGTTATGTTGAGCCAGGGTGTGTAGATTTCTGTGTTGTAGTTCTAGTTGGTTCATTTCTATGTTGGCCAGTGTGGTTCTCAATCAGAGGCAACGAGTGTCAGCTGTGGCTGGTTGTCTCTGATTGGGAACCACATTTAAACAGGCTGTTTTCCCACAGTAGTTGTGGGATCTTGTTCTAGTTGGTTTGTGTTAGACCGTGGACTGTCACGTTATCGTTTTGTTCGTATCACTTTGAATAAAATAAAGAGTATGTTCGTCTTCAACGCTGCGCCTTGGTCTACTCCCTTCGACGATCGTGACAGAAGATCCCACCAGAACTGGACCAAGCAGCGGGTCCAGGAGCCATCGCCAGGGAAATCCCTAGCGGATATCCAGCGCCTCCTCGACTGGGTCAAGCCGGGTGAGGAAGAGAGGGGCTTGACGTGGAAGCAGAAGGGCGAAAGGCTGGCGAGAAGTATGGAGACCTGGTCCACGGGTAGGAGTGAAGCCCATACATTTTTTAGGGGGGGGCTAACGCCGTGGACGACGGGGCAGCAGGAGACCGCAACAGAGCGGCCCAGCGGGTTGGCAGAGGAGGCCGCCAGGTTACGGGGGCCACTGGTCGAAGAGGGGAAGGAAGGTGTAGAGGCACGGCGAGAGGTACTGGGGTGTGTTACCAGTCCGGTCCGGCCCGTTCCAGATCCCTGCGTAGGGCCAGTGGTGTGTGTCCCCAGTACGGTCCGGCCTGTTCCTGCTCCCCGCACCAGGCCAATGGTGCGAGTCTCCAGCCCGGTCCGGCCCGCTCCTGCTCCCCGCACCAAGCCTATGGTGCGCGTCGCCAGCCCGGCCCGTCCTGTTCCTGCTCCCCGCACCAGGCCAATGGTGCGCGTCGCCAGCCCGGCCCGTCCTGTTCCTGCTCCCCGCACCAAGCCAATGGTGCGCGTCGCCAGCTCGGCCCGGCCTGTTCCTGCTCCCTGCACCAAGCCTATGGTGCGCGTCGCCAGCCCGGCCCGGCCCGGCCTGTCCCTGCTCCCCGCACCAGGCCAGTGGTGTGCGTCGTCAGTCCGGCACGGCCCGTGCCTGTTCCCCACACCAAGCCAGTGGTGTGCGTCGTCAGTCCGGCACGTCCCGTGCCTGTTCCACCGGTGCCTGGTCCGGCACCGGTCAGATGCTTCACGCCGGAGCTAGAGCAATCCGCTCCACCAGTGTGCAGTCCAGCTCCGGCCAGCTGGGCCAGACCGGACCAGGGGTACTTTGGGGGGTTGGAGAGGGAGCGGGGATCAGGCCCGGAGCCGGATCCGCCGCCTAGGCGGAGTGCCCACCCGGTCCCTCCCCTGTGGTATTTGGTTGGCGCGGTCGGAGTCCGCGCCTTTAGGGGGGGTACTGTCACGCCCTGGCTCTGGGGACACTGTTATGTTGAGCCAGGGTGTGTAGATTTCTGTGTTGTAGTTCTAGTTGGTTCATTTCTATGTTGGCCAGTGTGGTTCTCAATCAGAGGCAACGAGTGTCAGCTGTGGCTGGTTGTCTCTGATTGGGAACCACATTTAAACAGGCTGTTTTCCCACAGTAGTTGTGGGATCTTGTTCTAGTTGGTTTGTGTTAGACCGTGGACTGTCACGTTATCGTTTTGTTCGTATCACTTTGAATAAAATAAAGAGTATGTTCGTCTTCAACGCTGCACCTTGGTCTACTCCCTTCGACGATCGTGACACTAGCGATCAGTTTTTTAAAATTATATGAGAAAAAAATATTCCATTTTATTTGGAACGGCAAGCCAGACAAAATTAAACGGGCCTATTTATATAATAAATATGAATTAGGAGGACAGAAATTATTAAATATTAAAGCATTAGACCTATCACTAAAAGCTTCAGTCATACAAAAATTATACTTAAATCCGAACTGGTTCTCTAACAAATTAGTAAGATTGTCTCACCCAATGTTCAAGAATGGCCTTTTTCCCTTTATTCAGATTACAACCACTCACTTTCAGTTATTTGAAAAGGAGATAATCTCCCAAATATCACTATTTCTAAAACAAGCCATAGAAAGCAAAAACAGATCCTCTCAAGCTCTGTCAGGTTGGATGGGGAGCGTCGCTGCACAGCTATTTTCAGGTCTCTCCAGAGATGTTTGATCGGGTCAAGTCCGGGCTCTGGCTGGGCCACTCAAGGACATTCAGAGACTTGTCCCGAAGTCACTCCTGCGTTGTCTTGGCTGTGTGCTTAGGATCGTTGTCCTGTTGGAAGGTGAACCTTCGCCCCAGTCTGAGGTCCTGAGCGCTCTGGAGCAGGTTTTCATCAAGGATCTCTCTGTACTTTGCTCCTTTCATCTTTCACTCGATCCTGACTAGTCTCCCAGTCCCTGCCGCTGAAGATCATCCCCAGAGCATGATGCTGCCACCACCATACTTCACCATAGGGATGGTGCCAGGTTTCCTCAAGACGTGATGCTTGGCATTCATGCACTGTCAACTGTGGGACCTTATATAGACAGGTGTGTGTCTTTCCAAATCATGTCCAATCAATTGAATTTACCACAGGTGGACTCCAATCAAGTTGTAGAAACATCTCAAGGCTGGTCAATGGAAACAGGATGCACCTGAGCTCAATTTCGAGTCTCAAAGCAACGGTTCTGAATACTTATGTAAATAAGGTATCTTTTCTTTTTTTAATTATAAATTAGCACCAAAAAAAAAAGTTTTTTTCTTTGTCATTATGGGGTATTGTGTGTAGATTGATGAGGAAAAACAATAACTTTAGAATAAGGCTGTAAAGTAACAAAATGTGGAAAAAGTCAAGGGGCCTGAATTCTTTCCGAATGCACTGTAGCGGTCATCCAGCTGTGCCAGCCCTGACGACTTCAGCCCTTCTGTGTCGATGATTACTACGAAGTCGCAGTTCAGCTCCTTTTTGAAGTCGTCTTTGACACCTGCCACTACTGACTGCAAACTGCACTCCGAACATTGTGTTCAATAGAGTCAACTTTCCCATGCTCTGAACACCTTGAACAGTTACCACCAGGATCTTGCTCTTCGGCTGCACCACAACATTATTCTGATGCAGAACATCACTCACCCATCTCAGGGGTATGTTAGACACGTGTCCGTCCACCAGCTTCAGAGGAAAACCATCCAGAAGCAACTCAGCACATACAGTGCCTTCAGAAAGTATTTATACCCCTTGACTTATTCCATATTTTATTTTGTTAAAGCCTGAATTCAAAATGGATTAAAGTGATTTCTCTCTCACCCATCTACACACAATAACCCATAATGGCAAAGTGAAAACATGTTTAGACATTTTTGCAAATTTATTGAAAATGAAATACAGAAATATCTCATTTACGTAAGTATTCACACCCCTGAGTCAATACATTTAGGCAGCTGTGAGTCTTTCTTGGTAAGTCTATCAGAGCTTTGCACACCTTGAATGTACAATATTTGCACATTAGTCTTTTAAAAAAAACTTCATGCTCTGTCAAGTTGGCTGTTTATCATTGTTAGAAAGCCATTTTCAAGTCTTGCCATAGATTTTCAAGCCGATTTACAGTCAGTCAAAACTGTAACTAGACCACTCAGGAACATTCAATTTCGTCTTGGTAAGCAACTCCAGTGTATATTTGGCCTTGTGTTTTAGGTTATTGTCCTGCTGAAAGGTGAATTTGTCTGTTGGAAGGCAGACAACAAGGTTTTCCTCTAGGATTTTGCCTGTGCTTAGCTCCATTCTGTTTATTTTTATCATAAAAAACTCCCTAGTCCTTGCCAATGACAAGCATAGCCATAACATGATGCAGCCACCACCATGCTTGAAAATATGAAGTGGTGCTCAGTGATGTCTTGTTGGATTTGCCCCAAACATAACGCTTTGTTATCAGGACATACAGTTAATCTCTTTGCCACATTTTTTGCAGTTTTACTTTAGTGCCTTATTGCAAACATGATGCATGTTTTGGAATATTTTTTATTCTGTACAGGCTTCCTTCTTTTCACTCTGTCCTTTGGGGTAGTGTTGTGGAGTAACTACAATTTTGATCCAGCCTCAGTTTTCTCCTATCACAGCAATTAAACTCTGTAACTGTTTTAAAGTCACCATTGGCCTCATGGTGAAATCCCTGAGCGGTTTCCTTCCTCTCCAGCAACTGAGTTAGGAAGGACGCCTTTATCTTTGTAGTGACTGGGTGTTATGATACTCCATCCAAAATGTAATTAATACCTTCACCATGCTCAAAGGGATATTCAATGTACACTTTTTTATTTTTACCCATCTACCAATAGGTGATCATATTTGCGAGGCATTGGAAAACCTCCCTGGTCTTTGTGGTTGAATCTGCGTTTGAAATTCACTGCTCAACTGAGGGGCCTTACAGATAATTGTATGTGTGGGGTACAGAGATGAGGTAGTTATTCAAAAATCATGTTAAACACTATTATTGCACACAGAGTGAGTCCATGCAACTTATCGTATCTTGTTAAGTAAATATTTAATTGTGAACCTATTTAAGCTTGCCTTAACAAAGGGGTTGAATACTTATTGACACAAGACATTTCAACTTTTCATTTTTAATAATAAAAAAAAATATTCTGAAAACATAATTCCACTTTGACATTATGGGGTATTGTGTGTAGGCCAGTGACACAACATCTGGAAAAAGTCAAGGGGTGTGAATACTTCCTGAAGGCACTATAGTCTGGGCAGGTGCTGCAGTTGTTGCCGTGACTCTTCAGATTCTCTGAGTAAGACCGCAGACTCGCACAGTTGACCCATTTCACGTAGGAAATGTTTGGTTCCCAAAGAACTGTTATAAATCTGTCTGTCAAGCTCTGCAAGTTCTGGCACTTCTCTTTGTACTGCCCTCTGAGGCCAGACAAGTTTTTACGAGAGACTGTCCAGGTTCATTCACATCCATTTCAAGAAGTAGGACCTCTCTAGCCCTGTGCTTGATTTTTCATTTATGAAACAGGTCATTGCCTCGGTCATGGCATACCTCCTCTGCTGTTCCCTAAGTTATTTTCTCTGATTGGAGTTTACTTTGTACGTCTTAATGTTCTTGTCCACAGCTTTCTGGAGTCTGCATTCCTCCTTCTCTAGACGTGCCAGCTCCTTCCAAATCTGTCCTTGCAAGGGAAGCCGTCTTTCCTTATACTGTGGGGAGTCATAAATTTTTTTATGTGTGATGTCACTCTGACATTCTTGGTAGTCCTCGTCAACCAACATCCCAAGCTCGTGCCCCACTTCAGCCATTTGCTCCAATGGCATTTTGGACTTTGAACTCTTGATCACCTCACCAACTGCGTTTCGCGGGTTCTTCAGAAAGTCAGCATCATTCATCTGTTTGGTCTTCAGGATGACGTTGCTTGTATTCAAGTTCTTTGATGGTTTTCTTCAACGCGTCAGTTCTGAAGTTCTTGCTCTGTGTGTTACCCACTAGAAACAGCTGAGCCTTGGTGTGTTGGCTAGTCAGGCAAAGAAAGGAGTACTACGTCTCAAACAAACTGATGTCCCCTCTCAGATTAGTCAAAGCGACCAGTTCACCAAAGATGTCAATGTTCTTGTTCCCACAGGGGAGGTACCAGCTTATCTCAAACAATCCATTGGATATTCTCCTTGGACTATCACCACATTCTATATCGTGTTGGATGAACATGTCATGATATTGTTGGGGATTACTTAGAAGCTTGTTTAGAATCTGCGATTTGGACAGAGAGCACCCACCCAATCTGACAAAAGAGACCATGGGGAGGTCAGAGAGAACAATCCTGTCTTCAACAAATCCTCTGGAATCTGCCAACGAATGTGGTCTGAACTTCTTGACAATGTCTCGCATTGCCCAGAGCATTAGCGTGTACTGTTCTGTGTCACAAATGGGGAGAAGCAGCGGCACAGAAAACTGACACATTTACATTTTGTAATCTCTTGCTGGAGAAACCATTAGAGAACAGAAAGAGAGCATTCACAATGTCTAAGGGGTTTACAATAGTATTAGAGTCAAGGTATTCAACCAGACTATTCAGATCTAGGTCTATGTTGCAAAATGAAGCATCACAACTTTCCTTGCCTCCTGATGAGGTACATTTTACACTCCTAGCAGTCACATTAACCATCATTAACCTATTTAGGAAAGTCCATGGCAGGGCTGAGAGAGTCTGAGTAGGTTCATCTGTGACTGTCTTCTCATCTATCTGGAGCACGGTGCTCAGGGTGAGCTTCTCTGTGTAGTGTTGCTCCAACCCCAGGTCCAGCAGCAAACTCTCCAAGTGGGTGAAAAGAGAATGGTTTGAAATATCATTAAATATGAACAGGTGAATTTAGTAAAACCTTTGTTATTAAAACTGTGAAACACTATCCATATTTAATAGATGACATATTAGAAGGTTGGTAATTGTCCTCCTGCTAGACTGAAACTGTAAAAATAAAATAAAATAAAATAAAAATAATAATAATTCACAGCTGACTTGCTTTGGGTCCCGTTCTTCAGCACCGTTGAAATGTGGAAGGAGTACTTGACACCTGGACTCAGACTGGAGAAGGTCAGTGTGTTGGACTCTTGTCACCACAGGAACAGGTCATGCGATATGCCTCAACGACACCAGCGACACCGGTTTATCCCAATTTAGAGACAATGATTGACTGCTGGATTGGTCAATCTTTACCTTGTTGGGTGGTACAGGCACTGAAAAGGACAGTAAATCAAGTTTGAGGGCTCAATTCAACTAATAACGAAAACACAAGTCAAAAACATAATTCTCCTTTTAAGAATACAGTTGAGTGTTCTTTGTTTAACAATGAAAACCTTATTCATTGATACATGAATCTAAAAGTACATTTTCACTATCAGTGCAAAAAAAAAAAGTGTATTTATATAGCATCTTTATGTACACAAGTATTGCCTGCAGACAACGCCTTCATCTGATTACATGTGAAAACTAAAACTACTCTACTGTATAAATACTGCAACGCAATATTTATTTAAGAACTGATTGGCAAACGGGAATGCAGTCTTGATTAATATTCAATGGATTCAAAGGTGAAGTTCCCAAGAACCTTTTAAAAGCACTTACTTGTATACATAGACATGTTGACCACCGCACTCCGATTCCCATCTTCAGTGACCATTGTGATGCTGACACTGTACTCCGTCCCTGGAAACAGGCCCCCCACATCAGCGCTGTTGAAACCTTGGCTGGAACAGATCTCTCTCTGGGTGTAGCAGGAGTAGGTCAACTCGTACCTCCGCGCCAGGGTCAGAAGGTCGCCAGCTCAGAGAAACAGAGTCACTGCCAACATAATGAACTGTTATCTCTCCGGGGAAGGGGAGCTCTGTGGAAGAAAACCCAGAATTGATGTTTACTTCCTGAATTGAAATACAATTCACGCAAAACCCTGACGAGAGCAAATAGTTATGACTGCCATGTTTAATCTATGGCCTAGGAAGATTAAGACTCTTATCAGGCATGGCAAAGTTCATGTTATAGCCAAAGCCATGTTATACTGCACGATCCCCACTGTTTTTATGTTGCGAGTTAAAATCCCAGGTCTAGACAAGCTAACTCATTGACAGTTACAATACAATGACATATAAAAACGAAAATAGATACATACAGGCAGTTGAAAACTGTTATGAAAAAATGTAAACACATACCTTTAATCTGTTGCCAATAAACTAAGAGATGTTCACTATATATACACAAAAGTATGTGGACACCCCTTCAAATGAGTAGATTTGGCTATTTCAGCCACACCCGTTGCTGACAGGTGTATAAAATCGAGCACACCGCCATGCAATCTCCATAGACAAACATTGGCAGTAGAATGGCCTTATTGAAGAGCTCAGTGACTTTCAACGTGGCACCATCATAGGATGCCACCTTTCCAACAAGTCAGTTTGTCAAATTTCTGCCCTGCTAGAGCTGCCTCGGTCAACTGTAAGTGCTGTTATTGTGAAGTGGAATTGTCTAGGAGCAACAACGGCTCAGCTGCGAAGTGGTAGGCCACACAAGTTCACAGAATGGGACCGCAGAGTGCAGAAGCGCGTAAAAATTGTCTGTCCTCAGTTGCAACACTCACTACCGAGTTCCAAACTGCCTATGGAAGCAACGTCAGCACAAGAACTGCTTAGCCATGGAAATTGGTTTCCATGGCTGAGCAGCCGCACACAATTCTAAGGGGGGACCAACTCCATATTAATGCCCATGATTTTGGAATGAGATGTTCGACGAGCAGGTGTCCACATACCTTTGTAGCGTATGTATATAATAGAGTTTGATCAAATGTTTTATATAACCTTTTTTACAAGTGTACTGACAAGTGACTAAATGATTCCAGCTGCATCAGAAACCATTAAAGTGTTGACTTCAACATCCGGATCAATTCATTGTGATATTCATGAAATGTATTTGGAAGTAACTAGCTACACTCTTACTGCTAAAACAAATGATGCAGGGAGTTGCTGTATCATTTCAACTTTAATTTGTTGGCAAGTAAACATGTTTCAATAAAACAGTAGATTAGTCTGTCAATATAGTAAATAAGCAGACAGATTGTATTCAAGGCTAAGTTTATTTGCTCTGGAGACCGAGGTGAGTTTACACAGCAGTATGCAGGAACAGCTATGGCAATGTATGACATTTACACTTTATTAGGGACAGTTTATTAGATACACCCATCTAGTACTGGGTCGGACCCTTTCCATCCAGTACAGCCTGAATTCCTCAGGGCATGGTGTTCAATCGTTGCTCAATTGGTATCAAAGGACCTTACGTGTGCCAGGAAAACATTCCCCACACCAGTACACCACCGCCACCAGCCTGTACCGTTTACACCAGGCAGGATGGGGCCATGGACTCATGCTGCTTATGCTAAATCCTGACTCTGCCATCAGCATGACGCAACAGGAACCGGGATTCGTTGGACCAGGCAATGTTTTTCCAATCCTCAATTGTCCAGTGTTGGTGATTAGTGCCCACTGCAGCCGCTTCTTCTTGTTTTTAGCTGATAGGAGTTCCATCCAGTGTGGTCGTCTGCTGCAATAGCCCATCCGTGACAAGGATCGACGAGTTGTGCGTTCCGAGATGCCGTTCTGCACATCACTGTTGTACTGCACCATTATTTGTCTGTTTGTAGCCCGCCTGTTAGCTTGCAATATTCTTGCCATTCTGCCATTTCTCTCATCAACGAGCCGTTTTTGCCCTCAGGATTGCCGCTGACTGAATGTTTTTTGTTTGTCGGACCATTCTCTGTAAACCCTAGACACTGTCGTGCATGAAAAGCCCAGGAGGGTGGCCGTTTCTGAGCTACTGGATCCGGCGCGACTGGCACCAACGATTATACCACACTCAGTCGCTTAGGTCACTTGTTTTGCCCATTCTAACGTGCAATCGAACAGTGATTGAATGCCTTGATGCCTGTCTGCCTGCTTTATATAGCAAGCCACAGACATGTGACTCACTGTCTATAGGAAAGATCAATTTTCTTGAACAGGGTCGTGTACCTAATAAACCGGCCACTGAGTATATACAGTAGAATAAAAATATACTACTGTGTGTTTGTGGAGGTGCAGTGAGGTGTTCGGAGTCACTTTGATATAAAGGGGAGATTGTGTCCTGTCTGTATTCCTACTGTAGCAGATGCAGAATATGACATCTCACAGACACACATTAGCTAGCTAGCTACAACACACAGGTATAGTTACTCAAAGACTAATATGAGTCATAAAGCCAGTCATCAACATGCACATCATCAAAACATTTCTCCTGTTTAGCTCCTAGTCCTAATGAAATGCACTGAGGCTAGCTAGCAGAGATGGAAACTCGAGTCTGAGACTCGGACTCGAGTCGCAAAGAAAATGACTTGCGACTTGACTTAGACTCATGATCAATTGACTTGAGACTTGACTTGGACTCTAGATGAGAGACTCGTGAACAATGCAAGTCAGTACTGGGATAAGTTTTTGTTGTGCATTTTGTCAGATAACATGGAACAGGCGGCATTGTAACACAGAGATAGTAGTTTAATACAGAGGGCTGAAAAGCGTTCTAGAACATCTGCGTCATTTGTACGTCACTGTAGTACTACAGCTAAACAATTGTAATCCGCAACAATGTCATCAGGTGGTGAGGCTTTCGTTATTACATTTGGTTACAAGTGGCAAAAAACGAAATGCTGTTTGCAAAACTTGTGGAATTAACATTAAAGATGCTGGCGCAACTACATCCGACATTTGAAAACTCACTGCGAAAGGTCAGTTAGGCTAGCTAGCTAACAACGTTACAATGTGGTTAGACTAATAATAGCCTGTTTAGCAGATGCCAGCTTGATATAGCTAGCTTTCTTGTGTGTCATCTTTTAGCTAACTGGAAATGTATTACTGTCGACTATTTCTCGAAAGGTTAGGAGGTGGGTTGTCAGATAGCTAGGCCTACTTGTTAGCAGAGATTATTAAATTACATCTCAGCGATATGCATATCACTATGGGATTTAATATACTTTCTGTTGTATCCTGGTCCTAGGAAGTAACTTAGCATAAAACGAGAGTTCAAAGCATGCAACTTCTTGGACATTTCTGCTGAAAAATCCCATAGACCATATATATTTGTTTGTGTCCTTGTACTTCCATCTCAAGTCAGCAACAACTATCCATCATGTTGTTCATCTGCAGGTTCACTGAATTCTGCAAAGCAAAGGTGGCCAGCGCAGGGACAGAAGGACAGAGCAGCATTGACTCATTCTTGACCACCACAGGTGTCCATGTGTACAGCCAGGGCCACCCCAGGCAGAAGGCCATAACAGAGGCTATCCTGCAAGACCTGCTCATTTCCTGCTACCTGCCTATGTCCTTAGTGGACAACCCTCACTTTAGGCATTTCATGTCAGTGGTAGATGACAAATATAGACCAGTAAGTAGGCCCACGTTGACCAGGCGCCTGCATGACTTAACACTGAACAAAGAGGCTACAATCAAAAGTGCCCAAGAGAAGACAGAATCAGTGTCTGTCACTGTAGATATATGGACTGACAGGACCATGAGGGGCTTCATGGGAGTAACGGCCCATTACATGGCCATGGAAGAGAAAAAAACTCCCAGACTGGAGTCAGTTCTGTTGAGCTGTGATAGATTCACAGGGTCACACACTGGGGAAAGAACCAGTGATAAATGTGAAGTAATATGTGATAATTTTGGCATAAAACATAAATGAGATTATATCATATGTGATAACGCTGCAAATATGAAAAAGGCCTTCACAGTTTGTTTCCCCAAAGCAAGTAATGATCATGATGATGATGATGTGGATAACCCCAGCCTATGGGAAGAATTTGGTGAAGAGTATAATGCTGATGTTGAAGCTATCCAAACCAACTGCAGGCAACAGCGCTTACAGTGCTTTGCCCATTCATTACAACTGGTGATTAGAGATGGACTAAAGGAAACAAAAATCATAAACAGTGTGATGGCTAAGGTAACTCAACTTTGCAGCTTACTACATACTACCTGTGGTCTGAAAGAAGCATTTGAAGCTGAGTTCGGAGCCAATCGTTGTATCCCTGCTGCTGTGTCTACCAGATGGAATTCCCTCCTCCGGCTTGTTAAAGCAGTCACCAATCTGAATCAAACAAAGCCTCAATACTCTAGTTGAGGCCCAAGGACACAAGGAGCTCTGCTTATCACCAAGGGAATGGAGCCAGCTATTGGAGCTGGTGGACATTTTGGACCCTTTTGTCCAGGCCACCGACCTTACTCAGGGGGAGAAAGTGGTGACTCTCAGTGCTGCCCTTCCTTGTGTACTGTCACTCAACTATCATCTGCAAAGTATACTGAGCACAAGTCGTCACCTAGACAGTCTAGTAAAAGCACTACAGCCGTCACTCAAACGCCAATTCCATGTGGTGTTTGTGAATGTCAGAATGGAGCACTCGGATGAACAGGCAACAAAACGTCCATTTGGTGACAATGTATACATAATGGCTGCACTGCTGGACCCAACTTTCTGCCTGTTCTGGCTTGATCATGATGTCCTCATACCACATGAATATAAAGTTGAATTGAAGGAGTCTGATTGGTAGGTACAATGCATTGGGGCGGCAGGTAGCTTAGTGGTTAAGAGCGTTGTGCCAGTAACCGAAAGGTTGCTGGTTCTAATCCCCGAGCTGACTAGGTGAAAAATCTGTCGATGTGCCCTTGAGCAAGGCACTTAACCCTAATTGCTCCTGTAAGTCGCTCTGGATAAGAGCGTCTGCTAAATGACCAATTTATTATTATTATTTATTTTATTATTAATTTATTGCAACATGCAACGTTTTCTATGCCACTTGCATTCAAAT